CTGGGTGGAGGGTGAGGGTTTCTGCTGAGATGCTGCCTTGGGCCCTCCTGACATGCCTCTGCCGGTGCGTAAACAGCCCCTGCTCAGCGCACTAGATCTGGGCACTGCCGCACCTGCGGTTAGCGGTTAGCGCCTCAGACCAGTTAGAAGCAAACCTCATTGTCTTCAGCTCGGCAGAGCACCGGTTCCACCGCCTGCGAGCTGGGCGCTCCCAGTCTGTGGTCTGTGGCTCTAAAGGAACTATTTGATAAAGCAAATTGTCCTCTTCTCATGTCATATATAGCTTATTTGGCTGCAAATCTACAATTTCTTGCACCTTCCAAATGTACACTCATTCCAGTTCCTGTATTATGCCTGGGAAGCCTGGGTGAATTTCATTTAATGTTCACTCTTGCTTTAACAGTTTGCATCTCGGCTTATTATATGAAAAAGTAGCTAGAGTGTGTTTGTGATTTGAGTTCTGTGATTATCCGAAGTACGTAATACCCTCATAGGCTGCCGTGGTGGGTTACAGAGGCAGAAGCTGCCTTCGGGGCTTCTTTGAGGCAACGCAGCCTGTCCAGGCAGGACCCTTACCATCTGACCGCCTTTCTCCCATTTAAGGTGAAGGAAAAGAGAGGCTGGACCCTGAACAGTGCTGGCTACCTTCTTGGTCCACGTAAGTGACGCAGGTGCATGGCCTCTCGACGCTGAACTTGCTTTTCTGATGCTGGCTGTAGCCCTTGTGCTAACCCCGCTCTGTCTGCAATAAGGGGGTAGCGAGTCATCATTCTGATACTGTGCCATTCCAGTTTTAGTCAGACGAAGGGAAACGGAGAACTTCTTTGAGGCTCTGAGGCAGGATGGGCTTCCCTGTAGGGTTACTTATTCCCTCAAAGGCAGCCCCAGGATGTGCCAACCCTCCTCCTCCTCCCCCTTTTCTCCCCTCACTTGTGGAGGATGGGCTAGTTCCTGGGGGCGGGGAGACCTGACCCCATCTGCACCCCTAGTCTTGGGGCAGCTCGCTCTTTCTTGAACCCTGACCCATCCTGCATCCTCTCCTGCCCTCTCTGCCGGCCTTGCCCCTTTTACCTCCGCTCCTCCACCTGGCCAGTCCCTACAGCTCGGCCCACTTGACCCAGGCACCTGTTCCTTCCGGAAGCCTCTCCCTCCTCCAGCTCTCCTGCCTTGCACCCTGATGGAATTCCCAGCCTCAGACCTAGCTCAGGCTTCCCTGGTGACCGTCGTGGAAGGCAGACATTCCTTGGGGCTTCAAAGTTCTGAGCCCCACCCAGGGTCCCTCCGTATCTCCCTACACTCTCATCCACGCCTCAGTTTCACAGAGCACCCCACGTCAGTTGACCCCAAGCCCTATCTCCACCTTCCCCTAATCTCAGCCCTGGATGGGAATTCCCAGGTGACCGGAAGAAGCCAAAACATGCTCCCCTCCAGACTAAAAGACGATGGTTCTCTTCCTGCTCCAAATCTGTCCCTGTAGCCACCCTGCAAGGTGACTGATACTCGGTGTCTTATCCTTGATTTGCGTCACCTGGATCGGGTGTGAGTAGTTTTACTACATTTGTGATGCAGAAGATCTGGTGACTCTAGGGTAGCTGGGGACTTCAGAGACCCACCCCCAAGACCAACTGCTGCGTTTACAGACAAGCACCACGCGTGGGGCTCGGGACGGGCTCGCGGACGGAATGCCTAAGCGGGCGCGGGAGACAGCAGGCAGTGTGACGCCGGTGCCTGCAGGCGCTCGAGGGCACCGCTCTGGGACACTGCAGGCCTCGGCTGCTGATGCCTCCCCTCGCCTGCCCCCCTGCCCCCGCTCTCTGCTTCCTGCACGTTCTCTGTCTGCAGTGCCACCTTCAGATTTTAATTGTCCCAAAGGAGGGGACAAGGGGAGACCTTTCGCTTTCCCCTCCAACCCCGTACCTATCTGTGACTTTCAGATTTGCCAGCATGGTTGGCTTTGGGACAGCCATCAACCTTAAAAAAACCCCTCCCCTATTGATTTCCTATTTCCCCACAGGAAAGGAGGCAAACAGCATCTAGCTCGTAACGCCGTCCTTCCAGCGTAATTGGGACAAACGGTGCCTGTTTAAACTGCCATGGGGAGCTTAGCGCTTAATCCCAGGGTTTAAGTACAGACCCTCTTCTACTGCAGGCGGTGGTTCATCTGATCACCTGGTGGGTCCTTGAGAGCTGAGCTTTGAGAAACACAGGCATAGAAATGACAAAAACTAGTTGGGGCAACAGGTCTTTGGTCTCAGATCAAAGGCAACAGCAGATCCTCCCCTGGTCTTGTCCCTGAGAGCTGCCTGGCCTCCCTTCTGGGGGGAAGGACCGGCTCCAGTTTCCCTGACCCCTTTGCAGCCCTGAGTTCTTTGCCTCAGAGAGCACTGCTGTCCCCAGAGACGGGAGGAACCCTCCAGCGGCAGTGCCTGTGTGACTTTGGAATACTGAAAAGACACTCATCAAGAAGATTTTGAATCCTGAGTTAGAAAACAGACTCTTTTTCGCTGTCAGTTTGGATCAGCAGAAGCTGTACATCTACACTATCTGTTGGTCAAAATTCTTTACAACTTCACCCCACGCTCCTGACTTCTATTGTCAGCGTAGCAAACGGGGTGTGAAGGCCGCGTCTGCAGACGGTTTGAGCCCAACCTCACGGAGCGGTGTCCGAGAACTCTGTCTCTGGAAAAGTGAAGTCGTTCTCTTTTGTCTAGGCCTGGAGAGGGTGGAATCCGTCAGGCCAGGCAGCCAGACACCGCAAGTCACCCTCCCTCTTCTCCTTCCCACCCGAGGGTCCCCACATCAGTCCTCTTGACTCCAGGCCCCTTGGTACAGAGCCCTCAGCCTTTCTTTCCTGCAATTTCTTAAGGGATCTCTGCTTGCAGTCACCATTCCTCCATCTTCACTCCACCTAACACACACACACAAACACACACACACACACACACACACACACACACTTAGCTTTCCTCCCTCCCTCTTCCTCCTCCTCCTTCTGTCTGTCTGTCTGTCTGTCTGTCTCTGGCTTCAGTCTGTGTCTTGCACAGCAGCCAGAATGGTCTTTGAGAAATAAAGTCTGATTCCATCAGAACTGCAGATCCTTTGGTGGTCCTCCCAAAGGACCACAGGACCCCAGCCCCTGTCCTCTGCCTGGGAGGCACCCAGCTGGAGCACAAGCCCCCACTAGACCCCTCAGCTCTACCCCCCCCGCCCCTGGCCTGCCCCCTGGGGCCAGTCCCCTCTGCTGGAGCCCTGGGCTGCCCCCTCTTGACGGGGGGCCCCTCCTGCTCTTGGGGAGCCCCAGCACCCCGGTAAGCTTCGTGCCTCAGGCCCTTGCATGAGCTCTTCCCTCAAGTTCCTCAGAGAACGGCCTTCCCTCTTCTGCGGTTTCCCTACCGTGGCTTTATTTTTACAGTCTGGTTGTGCTGCGTGTTGATTACTGGCAGGCACGGGTCCTTCAGGACCGGGAGGTCTAGTTAGAGGCACAGCCCTCAGTGCTTCCCCTCTGATTTGCAAACAGATGCCATTGACAACCACAGGTCCTTTCAGGACAAGCATGGCCTGGCTGGCAAGCGGGAACTCCCACCCGACGACGAAACAAGGCCAGGTGAGAGCGCTGTGATCCCAGGCCATGCGGGCAGCGGGCGGCGCCGAGCTCCTGCCACCCAGACCCACAGCTGGGGCCCAAGCTAGGCCCTGCTGCATCTGTCAGCCACCAGAAATCGAAGAAGCCCCAGCAGGGTCAGGGGTCCCTCCAGGGTGCCCAGCAAGGCTCCAAAGGGAGGGAGGTCCCGGTGATGCCACCAGGTGCCGGGCCTAAGGTGGTCACCATGGTGGTAGGTCGGCAACGCTGACCCTCTACTTTCCAGGGAGCTTTGACAGGCCGCTGTCGGAGAACAACGTTGTGCGCACGATAATAGACTTTCTAAATTTCTTGCATCTCAAAGGTATGTGAAATTTTACCAAACTAAAATCCCACGTCTTAGAATCCTGGGCTCCTAAAAAGCCTGTCAAGAAAGGAGTCCATAGACTTCTACTGGGAAGTAACCATCGCCCACCTCCACACCTGAGGTCAGGCTGGGGGGTGTCCCAAGGTCTGGGGACCAGAACCAGCTGCAAAGGGGCTGGGATGGCCGTTCGTCCCAGTGCTGTTCCTGGAAAGGATCACCCACCAATGCTGTCACCAGGAGGAGGGGGCTCCACGGTTCCATTCACTCTGCTGGACCCACATTTCTTGACATGGTAAAACTTCTGTCCCTTGCAGGGCCGTAGTTACGGCACCCAGGCAGGCATGCTGGAGAGCATCTTAATCCGTATCTTGTGAGCCATGTTTCAGAATGCCCTTTTTTTTGCCTCCTGTGGGGCAGGCCGCGTTTAAATCCAGCACCTCTCCATCCTGGGATCTGGTCTCTTCTGCAGACTCTCCAGCCGATGAGGCTGCCTGTGGCCCATCCAGCCCCAGCTCTTCTGTGCTTTATGCTTGTCATTCATTCAACAGTGAGAGTCTGGCCTTAATCAATAATCATGGGTCAAAACCGCCCCTGTGGAAGGCGCTCCGAGAGTCTACCCGGGGAGGTGGCTCAGGGGCACAGCGGGACATGGGCCACTTTGATGCTCCAATAGTGACACCTGGTTATCACGTTTTGCGCATCACAGTTTTGTAGTCTAGTTTGGCAGAGTCAGGACTATTCTTGGATTCTGTTCTGATCTGTTTGCTCTCAGGCTGCACTGCCTCAGTTGAAGGACTTCAGGTGGGCGTGGGGAGGGGGAAGGAAGTTGGGGGAGCCCAGTGGAGCCTTTGGGGAAAACCTGCTGGTGACTTTTCCAACCAGGGGCAGATCAACTCTTCCAGGGTTTTGTTTGGTTTGTTTTGTTTTGTTTCGAATTTTGTAACATGGAACGTCTTTCATTAGGAGACATCGATTTTATTACCCAAACAGGAATTACACTTTTTAAAAAGTCTGACAGTTTCAGATGCAACCAGGTGTGAGCGCTGCATCGTTAAACAGTGAAGAACATGAGCTGTGCGGGACACTCTGGATCTGACCCTGTGAGGTCAGGACAGAGGACGGCCGCTCCAGCTTGCTCCCTGCGTGTGGCCCCTCCCTTTGCAGAGGCCGGGGCCCTGGAGCGCCTGCCCGGTCTTCCCGCAGCGCTGTCCTCAGAAGACACGGAGCAGTCCTGAGGTGGCCCCCCCGGGCACCTTCGTCTGTGCCTTGTCATCTGAAGTCAAGCTCGAAGTCTCATGCGATGTCTGCGGAGTACACCGCCCCGTCCTCTCTGCCCTGGTGCCGTGTTCCTATAATTTAAGATTTTTTCCCTTTGGTAATGATTTTGAGTGGCAAAATAAAAGAATAGCAACTGCTTGTGATGATCATTTTCTTCCTCACACCTGTCTCGCCACCACTGCCACTGGCGTGTTTTTAAGAGATAACACTTGGTTACAATCACCCGTGGGGGCTGTGGGGCAGGCGGGGCTAACAGACAGCTTAACATGCGTGTGTCTGGGTTAGAAAGGTGAGTGTCGTAAGCGCTGTACTTTAACGCTCAGGAGATGTGCTGAGTCACTGCTGCGCAAAAGGCAGCCTGTGGGGACAGTAACGCCAAGATGGCAGAGATGCGGTGACCTTTGTGGCAGAAATGAAAAGATCACACAGAAGATCCGAAAAGAGCACAGGTGAGGACGAGAAGCCAGGCATCGTTCTGTTAAGTTAAAGGATGGCCCACGGGCTCTGAGCACGGCCTGGGGCGGGGTGGAGGTGGAAGTGGGGGCCTCCCTCCGTGATCTGCCCCCCAGCAGTGCCCCTCACCCCTGGGGGGTCCAGGCGGCCCACGGACCGCTGCAGTTCGTGCTTCACGCCCCACCCCAGGTGACGGCAATACGCAGCCAAGCAAGGGAACCACCCCCAGAGACCCCCTCCAGGAAGTAGACACTGAGGGTAATTATTCAGGCCCTGCTGGCGGGCCCCCGCCCCGTCCTCCCCACCCGCCCACTCCGGGACACTTGCAGAGGCTTTCCCCACGACTCCGTCTGCCCTTCCCTCCCCTGCACGTGCCCCCACACACTCTGGTGGCCTGGTCCCAACTGCGGGTGTGGGAACACCATCCGCAGGGTCACCAGGCCCCTGCCCAGAGTGCCTAACTCAGGACGACTGGGTGGGCAGAACCCGCACTCCTAACAAGAGCCTCAGTGGTGCTGCCGCTGCTGCTCAGGGCCCACGCCTCACTGACACACTCCAAGCCCGCAGCCTGCCGCCTGTCCCGCCTGGTCTCCCTCTTGCCTTGGCCCCTTCCATCCGGTGGTCACGGACATAGACCTGTCCCCACCCCAGCCTGTCCTACTAGCCACCACTGACTGCAGCTGCTGGCCCAGCCTCACTCACCTAAAACCTTTGCACACACCCCTACTGATGCCTGGTAAACTCCTACACATCCCACAGGCTCCCACTCTGCGGTGGCCTCCTTGAGGGTGCCCTTCCTGCTCACTCAGCAGGGCTGTGTGCGGGCCCCACTTGTGTGGTGCTACCCCCACTGTCGTTCTGTTTGCTGCTGTCTTGCCTCGCTACACTGGAAGCCTGTCAAGAAGCAAACTGTGCTTGACGGAACGGAGCTCAGACCGGGCCAGGCTCTGAGCTCCCCGCAGCTGAGAGAATGAGAAGACAAGTCACAGACTAGGAGAAAGTATTTGCGAAAGACACGCCTGATTAAGGGCTACTAATCAAATATACAAAGAATTCTTAAAACCCAACAGTAAGAAAATGGACCCAGCGAAATAAACGGGCAAAAGATACTTCAGCGATACCTCGCTGAAGAAAACACCAAGATGGCGAGTAAGCGCATGAAAAGATACTTCACAACGCGTCATTAGGGAACTGCAAATTAAATGACAAGCTATGGCCACACACCTATCAATACGGCCAAAATCCAAAACACTGACACCACCCCGTGCTCACTTCTGCCCACCTGCACCCAATGAGCTTGCTAAAGAGAGCTCCCCACGCAGGGCGAGCAGGGCCCTCCCCATCCTTATCCTTTCCTCAGTCTGCTCTTCTCTTAGATTCTCTAACCTCTCCCAACATTTTTATCTTGGCTGAAACTTCTACCTTCAGTTCCTTAAAACAGATATTTTAACTTACTTCATATAATGATTTGTCTGTTGTGGTTTTAAGCTGCACCCCCACGGAAACTAGACCAAACCCCTCAGAATTCCAGGTGTTGATGAGAGTTTCGTAAAAGGAATAAAGGGTCTCAGAGCCAAGATGAGGGTTACAAGTAGGTTTCTGCTGGTATTTTGCAGTCAGTAGAAGGTTCCCTCCTGAGGGCGGCTCGCTCGCTGCCGCGCTTCTGGTCTTATGTCCAGCCTGCGGTTAACTGACAGGCGAGACGCTGTTCAGCATGTGTGTGTGTATCTGGGCTCTGCCCCGTTACAGAGCTCCTAACACCCCTGTAATTTCCTGAGTGATGGAGATGGTGGGAGTGGCTTACACAGAGTACCCAAATCCTCTGCAGTTCCCTGGGTACTAGGAGTGTCTTTTGTTCTAATGAGGTGACTGTTGGTGGGCCCCTGGACTGCTTCAGAATGGGGGTGATCTTCAGAAAGACCAAACCATGATTAGAAGCTCGGAACTTTCAGTTCCATCCCCCTTTCTCCAAAGAAGGGAGAGGGGCTGGAGATTGAGTTAACGATTGATCATGCCTACGTGATGAAGCCTCCATAAAAATCCCTAAACTGCAGGCTTTGGAGAGCTGCCAGGTTAGTGAACACATCCAGGCGCCAGGAAGGTGGTGCCCTCCAGTTCCAGAGGACAGAAACTCCTTGCTCAGGACCCTTCTGGACCTCGCCTATGTACCTCTTCTTCTGGCTGCTCATTTCTATCCTTTATAATAAACCACTAACAGTAAGTGAAGTGTTCTCCTGAGTTCTGTGAGCTGTTATAGCAAATTATCCAACCCAAGGAAGGGGTCATGGGAACTTCAGATTTGTAGCCAAGCCAGACGGAAGTGCGGGTAATCTGGGAGCCACTGCTTGAGATTGGTGTCTGCGGTGGGAGCTGTCTTGTGGGACTGAGTCCTTGAAACTGTGGAATCTGACACTAATGGTGTCAGAATTGAATTAAATTATGGGACACCCAGATGATGTCTAGAGAGCTGGAAAACTGGTTGGTATGGGGAAAAAAGCCCCGCTCACGTGGTATCAGAAGTGTGGGTGCAGAAACAGTTTTCTTTTAGCATGTGTCATTTTTTTTTAAAAAAATGACTTTTTCTCAGATTCTTGAAAGACAAGCTTTAAGTTCAGCTGCATTTCTGGGAAAATAAAAACGAAAACAAAAACAAAACCCACCAGATAATCTAACCTTAATCACAAAGGTGACCCCCATCATTTAGTATGTAGAGAAATTTGCACAGCCACACCCAGAAATAAGGACATACTATTTTTATTTTTATATGGTTTTAAAATAGCATTGGTTCTCTAACAAAAACAAAAAGCTGCGGTTTTCTGTCTTCTTGGTCATCCTCTGTAACTGCTAACTCTGGGTGCTGCAGTGGCTTTATACACAACCCTGCTTTGGCTTCTACTTCTCATATCGAATTTTCTGCAGGTTGTGCAAACTTAACAAATTCTCCCTTCTGAGAAGCCCTGCAGGGGTTATGCTTTCCCAGATGCCCCTTCCCTAGCCTTCAGGCTGTAGCTCTGTATTTGGCCACAGGCAGAATGCCCTCAGGTAGCACGGAAGGTCCCCCAGTGCACAGGAGCCCAGGTCCCAGGCGGGCCCCCTGCAGGGCTGGTGCAGTGCCCTGAGGGTGGCCGCTCCCCTTCCTTGCTGCCAGTCCTGCCTCCGGGCTCTGCAGGGGCGACACCTGCTGCAAGGCCCTTTCTAGGCAGCTCTCTGCCCCAGAGCAGTGCTGGAGCACAGTGTTCCCACCCCGCCATCCGACAGCACTTGTCTACCTCCGGCTTTCTGCCGCAGAATCCAGACCCCAAGGGGTGACAAAGGGGTTGAAATGGAGAAGAATTAATTTCTTTCTCCTGGTTTGGCTCCCCATCAGAACTAGGCTATTCCAAACACAGCTCTACAAACTGCCAGCTAACTCCTCGCTCCTTGCTCACTGACATGCCAGGGCCGGGCCCTGAGCCCCACTCCTCTCCGCGGGGAGCTGTGAGTGACACTACTCCCCACGGGGAGCTGTGAGCTCCCTAAATGCTCTGGGGCAGCCGCGCTGCTAACGAGCACAGAAGCAGAACTGACACATTAACAGTTATTAAGTTAATTACGACAATGGAAGACATTTGAAATTTTTATTCCTCTTTGCTTTTACAATAGAACCAAAAGAAAGTCGACTTAATAACTTACCTAACCTGCTGGTTTCTGCAAACTAGTTATTTTAACTGTTTTACAAACAATAATAGTATTATAACAATAATTATGGAGAAGTTAATTGGATAATAGAGCTTTTCCACAATTCAAATGGAAACACAAAAGAAACGAGATAATTTTTAATCCCACAACTCAAAACGCTACTGACCAAGGCAGGCCCGTGTGCCCGTGTGGGCCACCACCCACGCCTCATGGGGAGGCCCTAGAGGCGACTGGTAATTCCTGTGACTCTGAGGAGGCGTTGGCACGCAGAGACTCTTCAGGGCATTCAGCAGTTCTCTACAGACTTTAAGTTGCATCTTAGCAGTCTATCTGGGGACTTTATTTCTAAATAATTTAGGGGAAAAATCATCATGGCTTTTTATGCAGAGAAGCCCCCAGAGGAAAACTGGAGAGGATGAAGTCGGGAGGAACGGACTTTTATTTCTCCCCAGGGTCTGCTTCCACCCTCCATGACTCAACGCTGGTGCAGACACCCCCCCACCCAGGACCACAGGAACCCATGCTCTCTCCTGGGGTCCAGACAACAACGGTTATGGCATGCCTTCCTCAGAAGAGGGGAGGGTTTCCATCGCCAAATCCCTCAGAGACTGTGAGCGCACCCCCCACCCCGCCCCGTTTCCCGGATGCAAAGGGAAAGCTTAATCTTAACCATGAAGCTGTTGCCGCAGACCCAGCCTCATGTTCCTTAAAACAACCTTCTAAACTCTAGATTTCCTTCAGAATATGGAGACAAAATCCACATCACTCACATTTCACACATTGCACTCTACTCAACTTTCAGCCCTTTGGATTTGAACTCAATATGGAGAATCTGTGACAAGCATCTCCCGAATTCCTCTAAGATCATCTGCTCCGCCAAGCACTTGGAGCGGCGCTCCTTCTCCGCCTCTTCGCCTTGAGCCAGCAGGCAGGCGCACGTGGCTTCCACCACCTCCCAGGAGATGCATGAGGAAGACGGCCTGTCAGAAGAGAGAGGGTACAGGCTGCGTTCAATCACGCCACTGTTTTAAGATACTTTGTGTATTCAAGGGGACACGCTTGTCAAGGCTTTTTAAAGACTGTCACAGGTAAAATCTAACATTGGCTTCCCAATACTGGAAACTCTATTGCCCATATGAAGTAAAGGATCGCCTTTAGAAGAACACTACCGAGCACGGGTGTGTCTGTCAGCCTCTAGACACCTTCTCGTGGCAGATTCTAAATTTTCTCAAAATTAAACCCACTAACAGGCCCTGAGACCTGGGCTGCGGTGCTCAGCCGTGGGCTGCGCGGGGTAGAAGCAGCCGGGATCTTAGATGAAACGCGTCCCTGCAGACAAGCCCGCGGCCTTGGTCTAGGCTCCCTGCACAACGTCTGCCTCAGGAGAAGGGGGCAGGACAGCGCCCCAAGGGCCGGCCCTCCTCCCAGGACCTCCGAACTGCAGAAGCCCTCACCTCCGAGAACTTGCCTCCTTGGGGCACATGAGCATGGCCTCGCCTCTGAATGCCTCTGGGAGACCTGAGTGAGGCTCTGAGAGACAGCAGATCCGTGCCATACAGGACCCTGGCCATCTTCCCCCCGGGCTCAAGGGGCAACTGGGGCTTAGCTAGATAGTTACCCAGACTGAAAAAACGCAGGAAAACTATAAAGTATCAAGAAGTGTTAGATTATGAAAACAGAGATAGATGCTGGGATTGGTTAAAGTCTCTCATGGAGGCAATACACAGTGACTTTGGTGGAAGATGAAAGATGAAATGTCTGAACACTTGAGCTGGACTCCAAGGTATGGAGCGTCCATCACAGTCCTTCCGACACACACCATCCTGACGTCGGGCAGTGACATTTCCACATAGAATTTCACAGAAGATGCAGCCATGTTTCAGTACGTTTTTCCTGATAAAGACCTCTGCGGATCATAGTGAGGAGTATTTCCGATGCTTCTCTAACTAAATGAACATGAACTTGGATTTTCAAAATGATATCAATTAACTCATGACGTCTGGTACTTTATCATGACATGACCCATCACACTGAACTCAGTATTTTTTTAATGGGTGAATCTAGTCCAATAGACAGTAAAATTATTGCTCAACCCTTGAGAACCTGCTAGGAATATAACACAGCCTCCAAATAATTAAATGGGAAGATATCCAACTAAAGTGGAATCCGCGATCCCTTCAGTAAGGAATACAGCTTATGAAAGCTGAGAACTTCTCCCTGCTGTCACTTCCTATGGCACAGACTGGTTCAAGCACACGCTGTCGAGAGAGCATGCCCTTGCGTCCTGACGTCCTGCAGGGCCCTTCTACTCTTGTGAAAAGCCGGGGGTGACCCAGACGGTGAGGACCAAAGGGTCACGCTAAGAGGACAAATAAGACCACTTTTGGCAGCAGGGGCCCCCCGAGGTACCACAGTGTGTGATCAAGGGAAGGTCCAGACAGGGAGACAGGTGCCCGCTCCCCATCCCCTGTCCCCCCCGCCGCCGCAAGCACGCTTTCTTCCCAGTGTGTAAACTGTTTAAACTCTCCTCTCAGATTAACCTTGAATTCCCCTTTAGGAGGCTTAGTTCAGAGTACCTACCTATCTCTTCTGAATTTTGGTAGTCCTGAAAATTTAGTTGGTGATAAATGATGGCTGCCTTCAAAACCTCCAACTTCCATGTAATTTGGCATGTTTATTAGCGTTTTTCGTTCTGGGCTTTCTTCATAATTTTTGCAACCAATGCATTTACAAATCGAAGAACACAAAGTTTTGGCCTGGTAATAGAAAAGGCTTCAATGAAATTAGGTTGCCCTGCAATCCATCAAAACCTGACACATTCTGTTTGGACCTTAAATACCTGTTTATGTTTGTGGGTATGTGTATGTGCACGAATGTGATCTGCAATCTTCACACACACACAAAAGAGAAAGGCAGCTGAGAAGAGGAGTGAATGACGGCGACGTGAGGAGGGAGGCGCCTTCCCGCACGTGTCACTGTGAGGGGGAGGGTGATGGGGAGAGGACTTCCGAGGTGGGCGGGTGTGGGTGCGGGCCCGGGGCTCCACCCTCCTCCTCCTCCAGCAGCCAAGGGTGCCATGCTGGCGCTGCTGTTACAGAGAACGTGGGGGTGGGTAGAATCTGAAGCCCACCTGAGGGCAGGCCTGTGTTGGGTGTTTTAGGGGAGGCCCTTCCTGCTTCCTTGTGGGTGGACTTTGTTGTCACATGGCCGTGTGACACCTGGGGCGGGGGTTCCCAGCTGTGCCCGGCAAGCCCAGGGCCAGCCCCTTGCTCGGGCCGGGCCGTGGGGCAGTCGGAAGGCTGGCCCTGCCATCCATGGTGGTTTTCAGCTTCTTCTTTATTTTAGTCCCTGGGAATTTCCCTCTGTCCTTTTGAGCTCAGATGGGCATCTGAAAGGGTGTGTTTTATTCTTCACCTCTGCGTGTTTTGAGCAGGAGGTTTTTGGGGATTTCTACTCTGCTCGAATGCCAGAGACCTCAGGACATCTGCCTTTGCATGGGCCACTGCCCGGCAGAGGAAATGGGCGGACTCAGTCTCAGGGCACCCCCGAGGATGCTGTGAAGAGCAGACAGAGATGCTGTGAGGACGTGTGAAAATAGTTCCCCTGGGGTAATGCCATTCCTTTTCTGGACCTGTGTCTCTGCAATGTTTGTGGCTATGTTTTCAGAGCCCCAGCTGGGGGACGCTAGGTCTGCTGGATCTCCAGAATCACGAAGACTTTTCTTAAGCCTCTGATGACAACCTCTTAAAAATGAAATTTATAGAAACCCCACCCCCGTTGCCCCAAGAGACCCCAAACAAACCAAAGGAGAGATTTTTAAGGAAGAGTTTCTCAGCCACTTCACTGATAGGGCTGGGCCTGAGGGTTCACCCCCTTCCTCTTTCTCCCTTTCCTTCAACACAGAAAAAAGACACAGAAGAGGGAGGAGAGAGGGGTGAAACTAAAGGAGAAACAGCACATCCCTCTACTGTTGCCAAACCTTTGAGAAGAAGGAAGAGCCTAGTCCTAGAATTGACACCTCAGTTTGTTGGCATCTCTCTCGTAGCAGAGGTAACTGTCCAGGCTGGTCTCTGTCCGCTCAGGCGCTGGCCGCTCAGAGAACCCAGGTGAGTGCTCGCTGGAGGACAAGGCTCCCCAGGGACCTACTGGCCCACCCAGAGTGTCTTTGCTCTGCTCAGGGAGGAAGAGGCCCACCGCCAGGAGCCACTGGACTGCTGGCCGTGAGTGTGGCTCCCTCATGAAGCCAGCAGAGTGGGCAAGGCCACAGCAGTGGGCGCCCTCAGCCAGACACTCAGGGTGGGCTCGGGGACTGCAACATGCAACCAAAGGGGCCATGGGCTAAGACATCTGATTCCTAAAGTGTAATTTATATTTGAGAAATTAAGGTAGACTAATGAGTACCCTTTAAGAATCCCTGGAAGGGAGAAAATTAAATTATATTTCTAAGTTAAAGCTTTTTAAACCACAAAGTTACTTATTTGCCTGGCTTTTAACAATAACACTCGGAAGGAGGTGACTGACCTCGTAGCACTCACAGTAGTTCTTAAGGCAGCCCGACCTCCTGCAGCTGCAGCCTTTGCTGTGCCGAGGCTTGGCGTCTCCCAACTTTCCTTTCCCAATTTTTGGTTGGAAAGCTTCTGGATTTCTGTCAAGACATGCCTAGGGCAGAAAGTACAAGACTCCATCACGACATACTTCATTGTTTAACAATAACGTGCCGTGAAAGGGCTCTGTTTTCCTGTCGCGTCATCTGGTAGTTACTTCAGGAGGAGCCACGGCAAGCAGCGGGCCCGTCTGTTCATGTCATTAAGAAAGTGTGTCCGCTTCCTGTCCCATCGCCACTCATTTGCACACTTAAAGGCAGAAAAGTAATGGACAGTAAAGATGCAAAGAACATCACTGTGTCTGTGTGGACTTCCTTCATTCCCGCATTTCCCGTACGTTTTTTCCTGAGACACCTGGGATCTGGAGGCCAAGGCTCCCAGGGACCTAGTGCCCCACCCAGAGCGCTTAGACAGCTCACACTTATTAAACATTTACTGTGTTTCGGGCATCCTTCTGTGTGATTTATACACATTCTCTCGCTTCATCCTCACAGCGACCTCGTGAGGTAAACACAACGACTGCTCCTGCTGCCTGACGGTGAAGAAGCAGAGGTGGGGGGAGGTCAGGTAACGGAGGGCAAGTGGTGGGAGCGGGTCCAGGCCCTGTGCTCACGTCCAGCCCCGGGTCTCAACCACACAGCACGTGAGGCTTCGTGTCTTGGTGTTCATTAAACTTTTCTGTCTACTGCCTACCCATCTAGACATACACTTACGCATCTATTTCTCATAACAAAGTGGTTCAGGGCTCTTTATGAAGCTGTCTGAGCATCAGCGCCAGCCCCCGTCCCCCACCAACAAGTGAACAGCGGGACCTCTGCCCCCCAGCACCAGGGCCCCTAGAAATCCCCAGCGGCCCAGAGGGACCACTGGGGCGACACGGCTTCATATTTTCACTTTTGACAGAAGAACGAGGGGCAGTGAATGCACGAGTCTGTGGGTGGAGTGTGATGAAATTGAGCAGGCATGTGCCCTCACCCAGGTCAAGTCAGAGGACAGTCCAGCCCCCAGAGGCTCCCTCATGACTCCTCCCGTCAACACAGCTGCAGTGGGAGCCTCTATTCTGACTTGGATCGCTCTAATTTTGCCTGTTCTGGAACATCATCTGAGTAGAACCACGTGGTGAGTACTCTTGTGCTTGGCGTCTCTCAGCAGCACAACGTCTGGGAGCCTTGCCCACACTGTAGCACACGTATGTGGCTCTTTCTTTTGCACTGGTATGTACTATCCCACTATATGATAAATCTCACCAGATTCATCCATTCTCTCATGGATGAACATGAGGCTTGTTTCCAGTTTGCGGCTATTATGAATGAAGCATTTTTGTACAAATCTGTAGTGGGCGTGTGCTCATTTCTATTGGCTATATTTTTAAGAATGAGACTGCTGGGTCATGGCACATACAAAAGTTAAGCTTTAGTAACTATTGCCAAACAATTTTCCAAAGTGGTTGTACCAATGTACATTCCCACCAGCAATGCACAAGAATTCTGACACTTTTAAAACTTTTTACACTTTCAGTTGCAGACAACACCGTTAACCCCTAAAAATGCTACTACACTGAAGTTTAAATGCATCATAGTTTTCTTTTGCCCTATGGATATGCCTGTAACAAAATTGGTATTTTCAACTGATTTATCTATAATTCAAGAGGGGAATTCAATGATTTCAGAAAAAAACAAACAGACCAACCATGGCAGAGTACGAGTCTCAAGTCCGCAGGTGGCGGCCGTCCGCGTCCCTTTGTGGAGAGAGGGCATCAAGACGTGCCCCTGCAGGTTGGCGATGCTCCCCTCCTGGTTGGCGGTGCTCCCCTCCCTGGTGCTCTTCTGTGCCTTCGGGAAGGGTTGAAAGCTCCCAGCTACTGCATGTCTCTTAGCAGGGGGCCCGAGGAGCCCTCCAAGGTGCTGTTTGCCCCTAGATTCTCCCCTTCACCCGGAAGCCAAGGAGAATAAAAACCGGCCAAGCATAACGATGGCTGAGAGCTTTCACCTGGTTTTCTTCACTCACTGGACTGTCTACGCCTTTTCGGACTACACTCTTTGAACTCAGGCTTATCTGCTATACAACACAAGCCAAGTTTCTAACCCCCAAATCAGGACAAAGTGGATATCTGCATGCTGTTAAACCAGAGCTTTCTGGGCCCCCGCCACCCCTTTGAAGACATCACACACTGGCGGGGAACAAGGTCTCTCTCCGGCTACCGTGCTCCTAAGAGCCCCCAGTCGTGGCCAATACCCCCACCTGCAGGAATAGAGTCCTATGCAGTGAATACTTTTCAACACTTTGGGTTTTCCCAATATTGAAGTTAGAAATCTGTGGAGACAGTTTTGTGACTAACCCAGCACTTTTAAATGCTTTTAAAATACGTGTCTTTCATGGAAATTTCTTACCTTAATGGCCTTAAACCGTTCGATTTCATGACGTAAATTGTTGCAACAATTATTACAATTGCAGTTGTTGCAAAAGTCTCCACCAGCAAAGCAATCACAGTACCTGCGAAGAAAACAACATGGTGTGTCCAAGGCACTGGCTGCAGAGTGAGCAGATGGCACAGGCGCGCACAGCACTCCAGGAAGGAGGGAGAGAGCCGGCCAGCACGCGCAGTCAGCACAGCTGTGTCTCACGACTCTCCTTTTCATGTGAAAACAGACCGACTGGGATGGTGTTCTCCAGTGACTAACACAGAAGAGAGAGACTAGTTAAAGTCATTGGTTTCCTAATATAGGAGTTTGCAGAGCAAAACAATTTCCTGGAACACGTCCACGGATGTCAGTTGTCTCCTGCCCCTGGTGCCCACTGCCACCCTCCCGGGAGCACCGTCAGCTGGTGAGTGGAGACTTCAGGTAATAAAGAGCTGCTTCCCACCAACCACCCCATCCTCCCAACACGCGCTCACCCCAGCCAGACCTGGCCTCGGAGAGAAAACGAGAGACCCCTAGGGGTGGGGCCTGGCCCAGGCTGTCTTCCTTTCACTCCACGCCAGTGTGTGGAGGGAGGAGAAACGAATGGCGGAAGAAACACGTGTGGAACGACTGCCGGGACTGCTGCAACGCGGGCTGTCCGTGAGCTCAGAGTCTACCCGACAGCGTGGTGAGGAGACCCCCCCGAGGCCCGGCCCCCTGCCCCGGGGACCCTGGCTGTGCCCTGCGGCCCGCGGGCAGCGCGAGCTCCTTCTCTGCTGGGCTTTCCTCGAAGAGCTCGCCCTGTCTCTGACCGCGAACTGCCTCACAGGCTCTGGGAGGTGCCTGCCCTCAGGCTGTACAGCAGAGTTCCTTACAGGCTCTGGTTTACGTTTCTTCCAGTACGGGCAGGGACAAGACACTTCCCTCGCTCATGTAAAATCCAGCGTCCCGGAAAGGACTCCTGATGCCCTACCTGTAACCTGCACCCAGAGGGGCTTTGGGAAGCTCGTCAGCCACTCCATGGCTCAGCTTGTGACCAGAGGGCCTTCTGGTTCTCAGGAACTCTGTTCTCTTCTCAGAGCACAATTCACTGGAAAAAGCTTCAAATGCAGGTTTAATATCAGCTCTGCTGCCAGCTCCCCACATCCTCTGATGCAGGTTATCTATCAAGCAGTGCCTAGAGCCATGAAATGGAACTCATGGCACCCAGTCTACCAGTCTCAAAGGGCTGCTGAGGGAAGCCCTGAAGACTGGACGCCCAGCATGCTTCCACAGAGTGGGTGTGATTCCTGCAGGGTGCTGCCTGGAGCAGCTGGCAATGCGGTAGACCAGACGACTGCAGAAACCTTCCTGTTACAGAATTCCTAAATATAATTCTTTTAACATTTATTATTTTATTATTTTAAAATGCAAGTCAAGCCAAGAGGAGAGTGGAGGAGAGACTGTCAGAAGGGAAAAGAAGAGATTGTGAACCCAGGGGCTGAGCTCTGTAACTACTAAGTACTGCCCTGGGCCATCTGCTTGTCCCTACTGACCCAGAGCTTCGGTTCAAAGGGCCACTCATGCAGGAGATAGGGGACAAAGTCCGAGCTACAGAAGGTGGGATTTGGATCAAAAACACTCATATAAAGTGTGGATCCTTGAAAGGCAGCCTCCCCACAAGTCTACTTCACAGGAGGAGGGTGTGGAGACACGTCACTGTCTGAGCCGCACAGAGAGGAAAGACCTCACGCAAGATGTGGAAACTAGAACAGACGCACAGAAAGTAAAACCAACAGGAGAGAGGAAGGTGCAGAGGGAACCAGAGCGCCCGCCGTTTACGCACCAGAGGGTCCAGGAAGATAGGATTTTAAGAACGAAGGGGAGAAAATAAGTCAAGAACATTTCCCAGAACTAAAGGGCATGGGTTTCCAAAGTAAGAGGGCCTGCCAAGCAGCCAGAACAAGACGTCTTGTTACCGTATCGCAGAGCCCGGGGAGCAAGGAGAAGGTCCCACAAGGTTCCAGAAAGGATAAAATAGGCTTCGTACAAAGGTCAAGGAAAAGAATCGTGCCAAAATTTCAATAGCAACACTGGAAACCAGAAGAAAATGCAGCAAAGCCCTCAGAATTCTAAAGGAAAATTTGACTAGCTGAAGTTGAATGGAAGCTGGAAATCTCGCTATCCAATCCAAAGTGATCATCTCAGTGTGAGGACTATGACATTTTCAGACATGTAAGGTCTGAAAAATTAGGTCCCATGTACTCTTGCTGAGGAAGCTACCAGAGAATGTGCTGCACCAAAATGATGCAGTGACTCAAATGAGGAAGATAAAGGGATCCAGGAGCCAGGGGACCAAACATGAGGAGGAAGCAAAGGAAACCCTGGATCTGATGGGAGAGGCGGGTCCACGAGAAGAACTGTGCAGCAGGCCTGGAAACCAACCACTCCGAGTGGGACAGGTGATGGCTGTGGGAAAGGCTTCCTCCAGACCAGACTCAGCGAATACCTAGTGTGTGGAGCACCTTGAGAAAACAGTTACCCAAGCAGAGGAGAGTTAATGGGTAAGTAAGTGTTGTGTACATAAAAAACTAAGTATTAACTAAGTGTTAACTCGAGGGAAAAGGTAAAGAAGTGCAGGAAGAAAATCAATCAAGGCTCAGTAGTGAGGAGTGTTTTCACGGGCATAAAAATAAATACTTGCCACCACTCTACCCAAGTGCATCCAATGCCCGAGTATGGGAAACGTGTGTGTCAGGAGGCGGATTACCAGTAGGTGGGAAGAATAAACAGAGCTTTCCTCACATCTTTCATGATGTGAAAACAAGTGGTCACGCCAAAACTTAAAAGCCAGCAAGCAGCAATACAGGCATGTTGTTTAGATTTATGGAGACAAATGTTAAAAGATTTGGTTAAGGGCTGAAAATTCCTAGAGATCAGAAAATAAGGAACAATGTCAGGGAACTCCTTTTTTTTGTCATAAATCTTGTGTAATTATTTGGCTCTTTAAACTATGTGCATGTGACCTGGATAAAAATAATAACTAAATTAAAAGTCAGAAAGATAAAACTGAAACTGAGAGATAAAGAAATTGGATCCAGATTCAGCATAAAAACACAAAGCAGTTAAAAATATGGAAGAGAGGCTAAGAGAAATGGTCAGTAGCCAGGGGGCTCATGTGTATCTGATTAGCATGGCAGAAGGACAGAAAAGAGGAAATGGAAGAGAGGCATCTTTGGAGTGAGGATATCTGTGAGTTTTCCAGAGCTGTTGAAAGTTGTAGATCTTCAGATTTCACAAACCCAGCGAACCCCTAAAAGGCAGGTAAAAAGAAAAACCAAAGATAAAAAGAAAACTGCAAAAACACCAGAGAGAAAAGACAGATTTCCCAGACTTCTGTTGGAAATAATGGAAAACAGTGGAATAGCATCTTCAAAGCATTGAAAAAAAACTGACAGTCTGGAATTTTATACCTCGTCAAACTGTTTCGTCACTGACGTGGGGCTTGGCACATTTCTTTTCTTGCTTTACACATTTTGCTGGGTGATTTTATTTATTAACTCTTCCCCCTCTTTGTTTTAAACTCTAGGTTGGAGATTTATAAATCTGTACCACCAACCCCTCATTTTCTTCTTCCCCAAACATCAGGGAAGGGCTGGCCACGTTTGAAGCTTATCCTCCTCATCTCCCACTCATTCTTTTTTTTTTTAAATCAACCAAAGTCCATAGATTACATTAGGGTTCACTCTTGATGATGTACATTCTATGGGTTTTGACAAATGCATAATGACATGAGCCACCACTATAGTATCACACAGAATAATTTCATTCCCTAAAAATCCCTTGTGCTCCATTTATTCATTCCTCCCCACTTCCCTCTCCCCAGACCCCTGAAAACCACAATCTTTTTATTGTTTCTGTAGCTTTGAATGTCATTTGGTTGGAATCATACATTTTGTAGCCTTTTCAGACTGACTTCTTTCATTTAGTAATATGTCTTTTAAGTTTCTTCCATGTCTTTCATGGCTTGATAGCTCATTTCTTTTTTTTTCACTGTGTATATATTTTAAAATTTACATATATGTACTGTTCTTTGTTTCTAAGAACACTTAGAGCATTAGATTTCTAAATGTACATAGTTATCAAAGGAATAAAGCCAATCACAAAATAAAAAGTAATCCAAAAAGATACATATACCCTGCTATTAACAGTAGCATTATTTATAATTGCCATGATATGGAGGCATGCTAAGTGCACATCAATAATTGAATAAAGTAGATGCAGCATATATGTGTGTGTGTGTGTGTATACATATATATAGAATGGACTACAACTCACCCATAAGAAGGAAGGATATTTTGCCATTTGCAGCCCTTCATTCGTTTTTTTTTCACTTCAAAACCCGCAATTTTATAACTAACACAAACATTTCCATTACATCAAAAACAACAAAATACCTAGAAATAAACTTAACCAAGGAGGTTACCTATACTCTGAAAACCAAAATGACACAAAAAAATGGAAAGATTTCTTGTGCTCCTGAACTGGAAGAATCAACATTGTCAAAATGGCCACACTACACAAAGCAACCCACAGACCCAACCCGACCCCTGTCCAAGTACTCGTGACACTCCTCACAGAGCTAGAGCAAGCAATTCCAGAATTTATAAGGAACCACAAAAGAGCCTGAACAGCCAAAACAACTTTTGTAGGTCTCTGTTTTGTTTTTCTCCTTCTTCTTTTTGTTCTCTTTTCTTATGGTTTGATGACTAGAGAAGGTCCTTTAATAAGTTGTTGTAAAGCTGGTTTGGTGATGCTGAAATCTTTTAGCTTTTGTTTATCTGTGAAGCTTTTGATTTTTCCAAGTCCAAACGAGAGCCTTGTGGATAGAGTATTCTTGGTTGTAAGTTTCCCCCTTGCACCACTTTGAATATATCGTGTCACTTCCTTCTGGCCTGTAGAGCATCTGCTGAAAAATCAGCTGATAGCCTTATGGGAGTTCCCTTGTATGTTTTGTTGCTTTTCTCTTGCAAATTTTAATATTTTCACCTTATCCTTAATTGTTGTCAGTTTGATGACTGTGCCTCAGTGGGTTCCTCTTTGGGTTGATCC